GCAGGCACACACACGCACACACGCACACACACATGCACACACACACAAAGACAAGTAATGTGTCTATAGTTATATTGTGATGTCTTAGTAAATATTCTATTTGGTGAAAGATAAACTATTGTATTTGTCCTATTGGATCTATAATTAAACGGATAAACTAGTATTAGCACATCAAAAGTCAAGGAAAGCAAAAAGTTATTATCAGGAGAGGGAGAATGTTTTAGTGGTTAGCAGCAGTGTGCTAGTCGATGGCCCCCTCCATGAGGCCACCACAGCTCAGCAGAACATCGTTGTAGCTTCTTCTGGGGAGAAAAACACTTACAGAGAAAATAAAGTTAATAGCTGAAATTGCAGAAAATAGTACAGTTAAAGATCAGACTGTAGAAGAAAGCAGTAGAGTGTGAAAAGTGGTCAGTGTATCCTCCAGCAGTCTAAGCCTATAACAGCATAACTACAGAGATAACTCAGGATAATCTATCCCATTTAGATGGAGGCATGTTGGAGTCAGGGCAAGGGAGAGCTGTCTTTACCGACTGTACACTCCACCTCCCTCTACTCCCCCACTTGTCCAGATTTAGGCTAACATCAGATTGTAACCATAGACCCTATCAAATAAAAATGTTTTAAGCCTATTCTTAAAAGTAGACAAGGTGTTTGCCTCACGGACTAAAGCTGTGAGCTGGTTCCACAGGAGAGGAGCCTGATAACTAAAAGATCTGCCTCCCATCCTAATTTTAGATATTCTGGGAACCACCAGTAGACCTGCAGTCTTAGAGCGAAGTGCTCGGTTAGGAACATATGAAACAATCAGATCACTGATGTATGATGGAGCTTGATTATTAAGAGCTTTATATGTTGGAAGAAGGATCTTAAAATCTATTCTGAATTTAACAGGTAGCCAATGTCGGGAAGCTAAGACAGGAGAGATATGATCTCTCTTTTTAATTCTCATCAGAACTCTAGCTGCAGCATTTTGGACAAGCTGAAGACTTTTAACTACATTCTGTGGACTTCCTGAGAGTCATGAATTACAGTAATCCAGTCTTGATGTAATAAATGCATGAATTAGTTTTTCAGCATCACTCCTGGAAAGGATGCTTCTAATCTTAGCAATATTCTGAAGGTGGAAAAAGGAAATCCTACAAACCTGTTTAACCTGGGATTTGAATGACATGTCCTGGTGAAAGATAACACCAAGGTTCCTTACTTTGTTCTCGGAGATTAATGTAATGCCATTCAGGTCAGGCGATTGGCTAAGCAATTTCCTTTTCTGGATTTCTGGTCCAAAGATGAGAACTTCCGCCTTGTCTTGATTTAAAAGCAAAAAGTTTAGAGTCATCCAATTTTTTATGTCCTCAAGACAAGCCTGTAATCTACCTAACCAATTAGTTATATATATCCATTAACCCTGATGAACCTGCGTATCGTCAGCATAACAGTGGAAGTTTATCCCATGCTGTCTAATGATTTTACCTATTGGGAGCATATATATAGTAAAAAGAATTTGCCCAAGCACTGAACCCTGTGGCACTCCGCAAGTAACCCTGGAGTATGAAGACGATTTGTCATGTACATTTACAAAATGAAATCTGTCAGACAGGTAGGATTTAAACCAGCCTAACGCTGTTCCTTTGATCCCTACAACATGTTCAAGTCTTTCTAAAGGAACATTGGGATGGCCACTATTTTCTCCAGGACTTTGGATAAAAATGGAAGGTTAGATATTGGTCTATAATTCATTGGGTCATCTGGATCCAGAGAAGGCTTCTTAAGTGAAGGTTTGATTACAGCAACCTTAAAATCTTGTGGTACATATCCATTTACTAAGGATAGATTGATTATATTTAGAATGGGGGCAGTAACCAAAGGAAATGCTTCTTTAAATAATTTGGTTTGGATTGGATCCAAAATGCAAGTTGAAGGTTTAGATGAAGCTAATATTTTTGATAACTCTGAAAGCTCAACTGGATCAAAACGGTTCAAGCACAGATGAGGTTCTACAGTCACCTCTGATGCTGTCTCACTTACTGAGGAAGAAGAAATCGCATTAGGGAGGATGCTAAAGATTTTGTTTCTAATAGAATTAATTTTACTTGTAAAAAATCCCATGAAGTCATTGCTGCTGAGGGCTAAGGGAATAGATGGCTCAGAGCTATGATTCTGTGTAAGTTTAGCAACTGTACTGAAAAGAAATTTAGGATTATGCTTATTCTCCTCAATTAGTGCTGAGAAATAAGCAGTTCTACTTTGTCGAAGCTTATTTTTATAAAGCACAAGACTATTTTTCCAGGATAGGTAGGCCTCCTCATGGTGCGTAGAGCACCATGTTTTCTCCAATTTCCTAGAGTTTTGTTTTAAGGCTCGAAAATCAGAATTAAACCAGGGAGCCAACTTCCTGTCCCTAATTACCTTCCTTTTTAAAGGGGCAACATCATCTAATGCCACACGTAAAGAGGAAGTAACATTATGAACTAAGGCATCAATTTGTGAGGGGCTAGAACTGAAAGTATTGCCCTCTGCTACATGCCTCTGAGATGGTGAGGACAGTAAAGATGAAACAATTGATTTAAAAGATGCAACTGCGTTGTCAGATAGAGACCAACTATAGTGAAATCTACTTTCATGTCTCGAGAACTCGGTTATAAAAAACTCAAAGGTTAACAGAAAGTGGTCCGAGAGGACTGGATTATGTGGAAAGATTGTTATTTCCTCACACACTATGCCATAAGTCAGCACAAGGTCCAATGTATGATGGCAGGAGTGGGTGGAGCTATGTATTCTTTGAGTAAAACCAATTGAGTCTAAGATATTACTAAGGGCTACATTGAGGAAATCATTTTCAATGTCCACATGAATATTAAAATCCCCCACTATAATGACCTTATCAGTATTTAGCACCAAATCAGATAAAAAATCAGAGATCTGATCCAAAAAGTCAGAGTAAGGGTCTGGTGGACGATATAAAACTACAAACAAGAGTGGTTTTACAGTTTTGCAATCTGAATTAGGAAAACTAAGAATAAGATGTTTAAAAGAACTGTAACTATTATTCTGTAAGGGACTGATTAATAAGTCCAAATAAAAAATGGTTGCTACTCCTCCTCCTCACCCTGTACTTCGAGCAATATGATGATTTAAATCATTTGAAGGAGTCGACTCATTTAAGCTAACATAGTCCTCTTGCTGCAGCCAGGATTCTGTGAGAGAAAGCAAAGAGATCTGATTATCACAAATCAAGTCATTAACTAACAAAGTCTTAGAAAAAATGGATCTAATGTTCATCAACCCACATTTAATTTTTCTAGTTTTCTGCTCAGTTGAATTTGTTCTAATATTTATGAGATTTCCATGATTTGCTTTATTAAGCCTGATATTTAATCTGTGTATTTTGGCCGTGGGCAGGACACTGCCTCTATGGGGTAGTGGGTGGGTAACAGTGCAGAAGCTGCAGAGGGGTGTGTTAAACTACGACTCTGCTTCCTGGTCTGGACCCTGGGTTGTCATGAAGGACTAATAAAACTGGCCATGTTCCTAGAAAGAAGAGCTGCACCATCCAAAGAGGGATGGATGCCGTCTCTCTGCATCAGACCAGGTTTTCCCCAAAAAGTTTTCCAATTATCAATGTAGCCCACGTTGTTTTCAGGACACCACCTAGACAGCCAGCGGTTGAAGGACAGCATGCAGCTAAACATGTCGTCACTGGTCCGATCAGGCAGGGGGCCAGAGAAAATTACGGAGTCCGACATTGTTTTGGCAAACTTGCACACCGAAGCAACATTAATTTTAGTGACCTCCGATTGGCGTAACCAGGTGTCGTTACCGCCAGCGTGAATAACAATCTTACTGTATTTACGCTTATCCTTAGCCAGCAGTTTCAGGTAAGATTTAATGTCGCCCGCTCTGGCCCCAGGTAAATATTTAACTATGGTTGCTGGAGCCTCTAATGCCACGTTTCTGACTATGGAGCTGCCAATGATCAGAGTCGGCTTGTCAGTGGGTGCGTCACTGAGCGGGGAAAATCTATTAGAAACGTGGACGGGTTGGTGGTGGCCCATGGGCTGGAATCTATGTTTCCTGCGTACCGTCACCCAGCCGGCCTGAGGTCCCGGCTGCTCGGGTTCTGCTGGAGGACCGCTACGGGGTGGTTCTGAGCTAGTTAGCCCCGCGCTAGCTAAGTATCTACGGCTGTTTACGGGTTTTTCAACAGCGCGGAGCCGGGATTCCAATTCCGACACCCTCGCCTCCAAAGCTACAAAAATGCTACATTTATTACATGTACCATTATCACTAAAAGAGGCAGAGGAGTAACTAAACATCTGAGACAGAGAGCAAGAGATAGGAGACGGAGAAGCAGAGACAGAAGTAGCCATAGCCGTGCTGAGGCTAAGCTAACTGGGCGAGCAAACTGTTCAACACCAAATAAACTGCGTGCAAACTCAAATGGTTCCCTAAAAGCTAGGTGGAACAACAGAAAATGTGTGTTTTAGCGTGCTTTTGTGCTACAATAACTCAGAGATATCCTAGTACAGAGAAATTAAGTCAGCTTTAGCGAGCCCCAAACACCAAACAGCTACACGTAGTGCAACACTGAAAACAGGAAACAGGAAACGCCTTACCGCCAGGTGCAGCCAATCCCAACATATACCAAAAACTAGTTTTTTGGCTTCCAGATCTCGTAAGTCTCTTTGTAAAATCTCATTCCTTTGTTCAAATTCAGCTTTAAATATGTCCGAAAATACCTCCATGTTTTCCACGCGTGGTCCACCAGTAGCCATTGTAGGTCTGCTCAGGTCTAAAACCAGTCTGCAAATGAAGCTGTCTGTGTTCCTGCTTTGTGTTTGCCCTTTATATAGGACTGTGCCCTTTATGACATCATTAAAGGGAGATGATGCTGGCAGATTCCGTTTCCATGACCATGATCTTTGTTTTTTTACTTTGTTGTTACTGTAGTATTTTCAACAGGAATGTTGGTGACACTGAGTTAAACCACAAATGAAGACCCTGGAGTTTAGCTGCAGCTTGTTTAATTGTCTCATGAACATGTGGTGAAAACTGAAATGACAGAAAATAGACTCCATCTTAACAGATAGAAGCATGTTTACATCCAAAAAGTGCATTACTCTCACTTAAACATTCATGTTAGCAAAATATACACTAATATCCAAAGCTATTCGTATAAACTGTCATATAAAGCAACTTACGGCGTTCCAGCCTGATAATTCAGAGAAGATGGCATCTGATTACATCTCCACGCTGCCTTCTGCATGAGGCGCCTGTTTCTCCGCGAAAACAGTGTTTGACCAAAACCGGAAGTGCACCGCCAGAACAGGAAGTACATTTTAGCGATATTTTCTTTTTAACTAAAACACATATAAAGCATGAATTATTCATTTTAACAACACATATCAATGTTTTTAATGACAAATCATTTTAGAATTATTTATTTCAAACTTATGAACCTATTTATTCAGAGAAAGCCTTAAGGGCAACACACTCCCCGCCTGGCCTCGGGAGGCCACTATGCTAAACAAACATTATGCATTCAGTCTTTTGGCATGAGGAGGATAACTTCTGTAACCGGTCGCATAAATGTCTTTATGCACCCTTGATCGCATGTCTTCACTTCAATTTTCCTTACTCGATCGTCCTTGCTCGGGAATGTGGCAGAGACCCTGGCCATGGGCCAGTTGTTTCGTGCAGCCTGCTTGTCCTTTAACAGAACCAGGTCGTCAACTTGGAGGTTTCTGCGCGACCCGGTCCATTTCTGCCTTTGCTGCAATGTGGGTAGATACTCTCGTCTCCAGCGTGTCCAGAACTGATTGGAAAGGGCTTGGACCCTTCTCCATTGTTTGTTGTAAAGGTCTTTATCCGAAAAGTCTCCAGGTGGGGGTGGGAGGCAAGATTTTTGCGTAAGGAGCATTGAAGGGGATAGGATGAAAGGGTTCTCTGGATCAGAGGACACTGGGACGAGCGGCCTTGCATTTATTATGGCTGCAACCTCAGCCATAAGTGTGCACAACACGTCATGAGTCAGTTGAACCTTGTTTTGTAGTAGCATGGAGTCCAGGATTCTGCGGGCGACTCCAATCATGCGCTCCCAAGAACCTCCCATGTGGGACGCATGCGGTGGATTAAACCCCCAACTGCAGCCTTGGACAGTTAGGTACTGTTGGAGTGATTTGTCCATTCCAAGTTCCTTTGAAGTGCTAATAAAATTGGTGCCACGGTCAGATAGCAGCTGTTTGGCGGGGCCTCTTGGAGCGAAGAAGCGGCGGAGGGCATTTACACAGCTGGATGTGTCCAGAGATTCGATCACCTCAATATGCACGGCTCTCGAACTCATGCAGCTAAACATGATGGCCCACCGCTTACTTTCAGCTACTCCACCCCTAGTACGCCTGGTTGTTATGGACCACGGTCCGAACACGTCAAGGCCGACGTAGGTGAAAGGAGGACAGGTTTTTAGGCGTTCAGGTGGTAGATCCGCCATGAGTTGTTGTTCTTGTTTTCCACGTAGTTTGCGGCAGATTACACATTTGTGGATCACTGAATTGACTAGTTTTTTGCTGCCTAAAAGCCACAGCCCCGCGGCTCTGATAGCTCCTTCCGTCAGATGACGACCTTGGTGCTTTGTGAGCTCGTGGTAATGGCGAGTGATCAGAAGGGAGATGTGACTGCCTTTGGGAAGAATCACTGGGCTCTTCTCAGCACTCTCAATTTCTGCATGTTTGAGACGGCCTCCAACAGAAATGAGACTGTCCTGTAACATTGGGCTGAGCTTCTTGAGGGGACTCTGTTTCGAGATTGGCTTGCCAGCATCAAGGGCAGAAAGTTCCTTCTCAAAGTATGCCTTCTGTGTCTCTTTGAGGACAACAATCTTTGCTTGAGCGACCTCCTCTGGGGTTTGAGGCAGATGAAATTTGTGCCAGCCTTTGCATTTTTTGTTTGGATTAGTCCCATTGAAGGACTTTGCAATGTGGATGGGATTTGCTATGACTCTGACTAAAGATCTAAAGGTAGAAAAGTGCTCAAAACGCTTACAGATGAATGCTTGGAGGTGAGTGGCATAAGTTTTTACTTCTGGTCTAATTTCTGAGTCTTTATCTGGTTCAATCAGGTCAAACATTCCACTCAGTTGTGTTATCTCTTTGGCAGGATGGTAGATGAAGGGTGGTCCGGTGAACCAGGTGGACCTTTTTAGTTGGAATGCTGACAATGACCTAGATGCATGGTCTGCTGGATTTTCCTCTGTGCGCACATAATGCCACTGTGCTGGCTTTGATGACTGGCGAATGTGCTGCACTCTGTTGTGGACGTATGTGTAAAACCTTTTTGACTCATTACAGATGTAGCCGAGCACTACCTTACTGTCCGTGTAGAAGTGCACTGCATCAAAGTCCAAGTCCAACTCATCTTGAATGAGGTCAGCCATTTCTGCTGCCAAGACAGCTGCGCATAGTTCAAGTCTTGGTATTGTAGGTTCTGACAAGGGGGCTAGTTTTGCTTTGCCCATTATGAACCCAACCTCAACCCTCCCATCTGTTTGAATTGCCTTTAAGTAGGCTACAGCTCCTATGGCCTTAGTAGATGCATCTGAGAATAAACACAGTTCCTTGTGCTCTGCTTGACTTAGTGAGGTGGAGGTGTAGGTTCTGGGAACATGAAGTCCTCTTAGAACCTGAAGGGGATTTCTCCACATTTCCCATCTGTTTTGTTTGTCCTCTGGAAGGGGTTCATCCCAATCTGAACATTCTGAAGTAAGCTCTCTCAGTAGGGCCCTTCCTTGGATTGTAACGGGTGCCAATAGGCCCAGGGGATCGAAGACGCTATTGACAGAGGACAATACGCCACGGCGAGTGAATGACTTGTTTGCGGTGGCCACTGAGTAAGTGAATGTGTCTTTTGTTATTTCCCAGATGAGTCCAAGGCTTCGCTGGGATTGTGTCTCTTCACCACTTAAATCTAAGTTTTTGGTGACAGGGGCACAATCTTCTGGGCAGAAGGCCTGCATAACTGCCTGAGAGTTGGAAACGAACTTATGCAGGCGCAGGTTGGATTCAGCGAGTGAGGCTTGTGTTCTTTGAAGCAAGTCTATAGCCTCAGCAGGGGAGGGGACAGAGATCAGGCCGTCATCTACATAAAAGTGTCTCTCCACGAACTTTACGGTATCTGCACCATAGTCTTTTGAACCTGCTCTGATGGCCTTGCGTAGTCCATAAATGGAAACAGCGGGGGATGTTAAGTTGCCAAACACGTGGACCTTCATCCGGTACTCGACAACTTCTTTGTTTAGGTCATTGTCCCTGTGCCACAAAAAATGGAGGAAGTTGCGGTGGTCTTCCCGTACCCTAAAACAGTGAAACATTTGCTGTATATCTGCCATGATTGCAACACCCTCTCTCCGGAAGCGGAGAAGAACTCCGACAAGGGTGTTGTTTAAATCAGGGCCAGTAAGGAGGACATTGTTAAGTGAGGCACCCAAGTACTGGGCACTAGAATCGAAGACAACCCTGATCTGATTCGGTTTTTGTGGGTGGTAGACTCCAAATGTTGGGAGATACCAACACTCTTCTCCCTTTTTCAGTGGGGGGGTACCTCAGCATGGCCATTGGAGAGGATTTTTTCCATGAAGGCCGCATAATGCTCCCGCATTTCAGGTTTCCTGTTAAGGGTGCGTTTTAAGGAGGAGAACCTTGTGGCTGCCTGCTGTCTGTTATTTGGTAATTGCTGGCGGGGTTCCTTAAATGGGAGTGGGGCGACCCAACTGTTGTCCACGTCTCTGTGCATAGCATTGTCCATTATTTTCAGAAAGAGGGTGTCCTGTATTGAGTGAGCTGGTTTGTTGTCGTTATCTGTCTGGTTAAAAACCGTTTGACCCAGAGTTTGTTCGGGTGCGTTACCCGGCCTGTTTGTTTGTGGCGTTTCTTTGAGTTGCAGGAGGCTGTTACATGGTTTGAAAACTGTAGGGCGGCCATTTTCCAGAATGACTGTCTTCAGGGTGCTGACTGTAGGCCTATGAACATTTCCCAGACAGACCTCTCCAACTACAACCCACCCTAGATCTAGGCACTGGGCGAAGGGTGCATTATGGGGGCCGTTAATTCTCTGCCTGGCCTTGTGTGCCTGTAAAACATCTCGCCCTAGTAGCAGGAGTATCTCGGCTTTAGGGTCTAGCTCTGGGATGTACTTTGCTATGGTTCGGAGGTGCGGCTGGTGTAGCACTGCGCTGGGAGTTGGGATTTCGCTCCTATTGTTAGGAATGTCCTGACACTATACGAGCGATGGTAGAGGGATAACTACTGACCTATCCAGTGACTCGATATGGAAACCTTCGGCTATTTTACCCCATGTTTCTACAACACCAGAGCATGTTCTAAGATTGTAGGAGAAAGGTTCGCTTTTAATGTCAAAAAGGTCGAAGAACTCAGGCTTGGCTAAAGAACGGTTGCTAATATTACATATGCTTTAACAGCTCTGTCCTTGTAACCTTCTGGGTACACCCATGCGAGACATATCTTGGAACATGAACGTCCCCACTGTCCTGGACCGCACACGTCTGTGCAGCTTGTTGTGACATCAACCGTGTTGCGACTGTTTTCTCTCTCCCCGCCATTCTCTTGTGCCGGAGGTGGAGCCTTGTTGGTCTGTGGTGGAGGACCAGGATGCATGACTGCGTCGTGACCCGTGCTGTCACATTCAGAACACTTTATTGAAGATTTGCATTCCTTCGCAAGATGAGTGTCTGAAGAACAGCATCTGAAGCAAATTCCTTTTTCCTTGAGGAAGGACTTCCTTTCGTCCAGTGGTTTATTCCTAAATGTTCTTTATCTTTTGAGCGGGTGTGGCTTGTTATGCAGTGGGCAGTTCTGGTTAATGTCCTTGTTAGGGGGAGAAATATTGGTTTTGTGTACCGTAATTGGTTTGCTGGAATTGAAGTTTTTTGCAAAAGGTTTTTCTGGTTTTAAGTTTTGCTGGTGAAAACTTGGATCATTGCGTTTCTTAGCCTCTTTACATATGAATTCACAGAAGTACTCAAAGGGTGGGAAACAACCTTGGTTGTTCTCTTTATATTGAGAGCCGTGTGACATCCACCTCTCCTGAAGTCCATATGGGAGTTTGTCTACGATCGGGCTTATTCCACGAGAAGTGTCCAGATAGAGTAGACCAGGCAGATGGAAGTCTTCCTTGGCGCCTTGAATCTCTTGCAGTAAATCCCCTAGTTCACGTAGCTTCACATGATCTTTGGCTGTTAATTTTGGGAAACTGTCCAACCGTTGGAAAAGTGACCTTTCGATTATTTCTGATGCTGCATAACATTCATTCAGTCTTTCCCATGCTTTTTATAGAGCTACTGTGGGGTTGTTGACATATACTGAACGTATGCGTTTCACCTGATCACTTGACTCCCTCCCTAACCACTTCGTCATGAGATCTAGCTCTTGAATGGGGGTGAGTTGGACCTCAGCTGTTGCACTGGTAAACGAAGAGCACCATGCTCTGTAATTCTCTGGCCCGTCGTCGAACTGGTAAAGGCCTGAGATTATTAAATCTCGACGTGCCATGTATTGGGCAAAGGGCTCTGCTGGATTTAAAATGCTGGCCGCGGTGTTACAGTTATGCTGAGGTATACATGGTGAGCCGCATGGGTTGAGAGAGGTATTTTGTTTCTCCACTTTAGGTTTTGTTTCACCTTTCAGCTGGCTGGGGTAATTTAGAGCAGCGATATTACCTTTGGTAAGCCTCATTTCAGAGTTGATGGGTTGTGGCTCTAAATTGCCTTCTTCAGATGGATGCCACGTTACAAATATGTTGGGTGAACTTGCTCTGGGACAAGCAGTGGTTGGTAATTGTCGTGGACTGGGAGATAGCTTGGTGTCCATTTGAGATCGTACATATTCATTCGTACGTTCAAATTTTACACTTTCTGATGGAGATTTTCTACTCTCAGGTTCTTCTTGTATTGCTTCAGCTTCCTCTAGCACTTCTGCTTCAGCTAGAGCAGCATCAGCTTCCCTCTGTAATGTTAACACTTCTAATTCCGCATCTATTTTTGCCTTTTCCAGTTCGCTTTGAGCTTTTTCAACTTTTAACTGTGCTTCTTTTGTTGTGTAGCATGCTCTCACCTTCGCAGCCTCTGCTTTAGCTCGAGCATGGGCAGCGCTTACTGCTGATCCAGATGAGCGGCTCGTCCTCAAACTGCGTGCAGACTTGTTACTCGATGCCATTTTGACGGCGATGAATCGTCAGTAGTCGCCTTTTCACTGTAGTGTTTTCAACAGGAATGTTGGTGACACCGAGTTAAACCACAAATGAAGACCCTGGAGTTTAGCTGCAGCTTATTTAATTGTCTCATGAACATGTGGTGAAAACTGAAATGACAGAAAATAGACTCCATCTTAACAGATAGAAGCATGTTTACATCCAAAAAGTGCATTACTCTCACTGAAACATTCATGTTAGCAAAATATACACTAATATCCAAAGCTATTCGTATAAACTGTCATATAAAGCAACTTACGGCGTTCCAGCCTGATAATTCAGAGAAGATGGCATCTGATTACATCTCCACGCTGCCTTCTGCATGAGGCGCCTGTTTCTCCGCGAAAACAGTGTTTGACCAAAACCGGAAGTGCACCGCCAGAACAGGAAGTACATTTTAGCGATATTTTCTTTTTAACTAAAACACATATAAAGCATGAATTATTCATTTTAACAACACATATCAATGTTTTTAATGACAAATCATTTTAGAATTATTTATTTCAAACTTATGAACCTATTTATTCAGAGAAAGCCTTAAGGGCAACACAGTTACAGTTAGTTAATTAATTAATTCCTGTTATAGTTAATTAATGAAGTTTTATTCATTTTAATTAAACAGATTTACAATAATGTGTTTACCTATTAAAATAAAGGGTGTTTAATTATTTACTGTCAATCTGAACATAAAATGATAAATGTTGTATTTTTATTTGTATGACTTTATTTTCAGGACAGATAAAAAATTATCCTTTAAAGTAAAAGTTTACAGTAAAAACCAAAAGCTGAGGGATCCGGTTATGGTGGCCATGCAGGAGGACATGTTATTTTTTTTGTTCTGCTGCCAAGTTGGTTCTAACATTCTCCTGTTCACTAATAACTTAAAAATCAGGAAGATTTTGCGGAACAACGCCTAATGCGATTAAGTCAAAGAAGGGAAAAGGAGGAACAGCTAAACAAGCGAGCCTGTTTGACTGTAGTCTTCGAGGTGAAGCAGCTAATGCTAACCAGGCCATGGCTACGCAGACTGACAATGATAATGAACCCGTGGGTACCAAAGGTGACCAGATACTGGCAAAGATCAACTCAATGGAAACGGGTTTCGCGTCAAGGCTGGATAATATGGCAATAACATTACAAGAGGTGAAGAAAGATATTAACGACTGTGGAAAACGTATGTCGCGAGTTGAGGAACGCATCTGCACAGCGGAGGATGAGCTGGTTAGCCTGCAAGCTAAAGTTAGTAGCTAAAAACAAAACCGTGGAGAACAAATTTGTGGATCTAGAAGCCAGGTCAGGTATGAATGATCTACGGCTCGTGAACCTACCCGGAGGGCGCGGAAGTAGGAGACATACATGCCTTCTTGGAGAAGTGGATACCCGAAGCAATGGAGAATGAGAGGCTGCAGTCCTCTGTTGTTCTGGAGAGAGCACACAGGAAAGGCCAGAAGAACGACAACACATCACAACCGATAACTTTGATGAGAAAGTTTTGCAACTACAAAGACAAGCAGGCAGTCCTTATTGCTGCGAGGGAGAAAACGATATATACTACAAGGATCAACAGGTTCCTTCTTATCCGGACTTGGCTGCCGGGATTGCCCAGATGAGGAAGAAGTTTGACCCGATTCGTGCAGAACTAAGAAAGCTGGGGATCCGACACGGTGTGACTCATTCCGTGACCTTGTTGGTGACTCACAAGGGTAAAACGCTTTCCTTTAAAACACCCGAGGAAGCAAAGATCTTCCTTAAAAAAAATCCAGGAACTGTGGAACGAAGAATCAGGAATGTAAGGTTGGAATCCTATAAGTTAGTAGTTTATTGATTTGTAGGCTCTAAAAGAAGATAACAAATCGAGTGGCTTTTTTGTTGATGTTGTTGTTTTTTCTTTTTTCTTTTCCTCTTTCTATTAATGAATGTTTTGTATCAATCGAATTGACACTTTGACTACTAGAGAGCAAGTTAAAGGATTATATATGTACAAAAGGGGACTGCATAATGTGACTGAGTAATCCCAAGAGTGCCTACATGTTGTATTATTAGTAAAAATGGGACATAGAGTTACATATAATGGACGTTAATTGAGACGAGCAGGAGTGTTGACTAACTATTAGCTACAGTTTAGCAGCAGCAGTGTTTTTTGAAGTAGGTTAAGAACCAAAAGAGTGGTAAGATCGATCCCCACAGATGTGGATCGGTCTCAGCGATAACGGAGGTCCAACAGTTAGGGGAGGGATACCCACCATTGAGGCAAAGAGGGAGGGGGGTTGTGTTATTTTTGAGTGTTGGATGCAAGCCCCCATAATACTGGTATGAAAATGAAGCCAACACGGAAGTGACAAAAACTGCTGTTCCACCCACGTCCTCTAGGGGCTGGTGTCAGAAGCGAGCAAATCCTCATTGACTCCCATGTTAAAAATACCAATTTCACAGCAGAAATAAACATGTTTACAGCCTGGTTCCAAATTATGTTTTAGATTTAATAGATCTAGTTTACACTCATGACAACTCTGAGGGGGGTGAATGTTTTGTGACTCTTCTGTTTAAGTGTATTAAATACCTAAAAATCTGAATAATTAATGAGCATCAGACCCACGTGACTGCAGAGCTAGCTCCGGGGAAAGGCCTCAGCCTGAACCTCGGCCTTGCCTGAAAACTGTTCCGCCATTTTCAGTCTCTCAACTTAGACCATTAGTTGCAGCGTGTGCGCGTTCATTTGGGATAGTATTTGTGCATATTACGTCCCCAGCTCTCTAGGAGAGATGAGGAGGGGAGTAAAAAAAGTGGTGTGTGGGTTAAATAATAATCAACGTGCTGTGTCACTTAAAAACAAGAATTTTATTACAAAAATGAAAAGGATCTTACCAATACTATATACAAAACAAAAGGAGATATTTACAAAACGAGATAACGAAAAACGCCACCACAGAAGGGGGTGGGGAGAAAACCGAGAATAATAAGAGTGGGGGAGATCCAAAGTCAAAATCTAAAGCTGGTCCGACGTCAAGTTGCCAAATTGTCTAATCTAATTCCAATTTCCAAAATGACTCAAATACCAAAGTCTAACGAGCAAACAAGATGTATCAAAAGCGAACGAGGAGAAGAGAATGGTACAAAATCCTAAGAGTTCACACTACCCTGAACCTTCTCGTTGACTGAGGGCCGGAGAGCAGCTTTTAACAGCTGTCTAGTGATTAACACTGATTGTAAACAGCTGGGCACTGGGAGACGGGCGAGGCAGAAGCCACTGGGGCCATCTTGTTGCCAAAAAGGGGCACGGCACGTAAACCCCCCCCCCCCCCCCCCCACTTAAGAAAATAAATGGGGGCCTCAAGAAGGGCCAACATTTATTCAAACAAAACGAGGTCTCCCGCTATCTAAACACACACACACACACACACACACACAC